ACATGTTTGACCTGATTCCAGCTCCTTCCTACTTTTAGTTGATAACATCAAAAATCAATCAAACATTTACTCCTTGTGCCTGAATTTTGTGTTTTTCTGTTACACAAATTAAGACATTTCCACCAGGGATCAAACCTAAACTTATTAACATCACCACCAACATTGGACCAATCCTTCATTTACGTCTGCAGCTTCACCGGTGTCGAAACAGCTAAGCATGACGCCTCCACCTGGTGGAACAATCAGGTACTACAGCTGATCTACAATACATTTTCTGACATGCACGTAGGGAATACAGTTTTTCCCCGACTTTTGCAGCTTTTGCTCACCTGGAAATAGACTCATAGAATCTGCTTAACACAGGAGGGGTGGGGCTTATGACCTTAACTGGGAGCGGCCACCAGGGGGTGATCCACAGATTTGCTCGGAAGTCGGCCATCTTTACAGTCTGTGGTGAAAAACATGGCTGCTTTTCAATATCCATGCTGTACACAATACCCCCAAAAAAGAAAAACAGTATGTCCCAGTACAAAGTACATCAACTGTAGTACACTAAAAATACCCCTCTATAGCTCGTCAATCACGAGTATGAACAAGTTTGTGTAGCCGACAGTGCACAAACACATAAGCTCATATCACACATGGAAGTGAAACTAGCACATATGAGTCAAAGGCAGGCTGAAGGTGGCGCTGTGGCTTAGCTGGTTAAAGCGCCTGTCTAGTAAACAGGAGATCCTGGGTTCAAATCCCAGCAGTGCCTCACAGCTACTACCTTAACTTATATCAGAATTTCTTACACAACTTTGGATGTACCTCTGGTTCTGCTTTCAAATGACCTGATTGACAAACAACATTCAGAATGTATGTAATGGACGATCAGGGCATATGTGGGACTGTAGCTTAGCCTGTTAAAGTGCCTCCACACCATACATCCAGCTGGGCATGGTGGTGGCAGTATTATGCTGTGGGGCTGTTTTGCTTCTATTGGCACTGGTGCTTTACATAAAGTAAAAGGGATAATGAGGAAGGATGGTTACCTCTACATTCTTCAGGAAAACCTAAAACTAGCACCACAAGGTTGGTCTTGGTTGCTGGATGTTGGGTGGTCCAACAAGACAATGACCCCAGCACACTTCAAAAGTGGTAAAGAAATGGTTAAAGATTCTTAGAATAAAATCACTGCAACCAGAAGGCGCTGTGGCTTAGCTGGTTAAAGCGCCTGTCT